TATCTATTCATCTCCCTCGGTCTTATGCGCTTTACCTATTTTTTTGTACTTATCCTCACACTTTATGTTCCATAACTTCATTCTCATAATTCTTTAAAACTCTCCTACCATCACTCTTTTTCGCCATCTCTCTTCTATCTCTCTCTCTCTCTCTCTCTCTCTCTGTCTTACTCTCTTTCTCTCTCTTACTCTCTCCCTTTCTCTCTCTATCTATCTATCTATCTACCTCCTTTTCTTGCTCTCTATGTGCTTATTCTAAGCCTTGCTTTTACCTTTATCTCTCTCTCTCTCTCTCTCTCTCTCTCTCTCTTTCTTTCTCTCTCTCTCTCTCTCTCTCTCTCTCTCTCTCTCTCTCCTCTTCTATGTGAAAGTAAAGTTATGTTACTTGCAATAGTGTTACCTCGATGATCTTGAGAAATACATTAATAAATAGTATTGTCAAGTCCAACGCATTTCAAGTATTTGATTTTTTTTAATGAAATACAAACTTAAAGGTAAATTTGTGTTTTCTTCAATAAACTCTTCTTGTGAAAATTCCTTATTTTCGAGTTCAGGTAGTCTTTTGAAAAACATTGTTATCGCAGTGAAACCTCGAAATAATTAGGTTGGACACTCTCCCTAACAGTATTTTCATTTTAATCAAGTCATGCTTCCAACTAACTTAGCCATTTCTAAAACATTAAATATCGAGAAGGGGAGGAGGTTAGTGAATAATCTGTTTTGAACAATACCAATTTATAAGGCCCATGCTCAGATGAGGAAAGTGGTTACGGAAAATGGTTTAATTAAGGTATTCGCGGATTTCATCAAGAAACGAAGAGATTAGATTGGAACAATTGTACTACAAAACTAAGATCTAGTTAACCCGATTAGGCCGTCGTTACATAGATAAAATGACCAATGAATAAAATAAAGAATGTATAAGGTTTAATTTATAGTGTCAGAACTTGGACAACTTTGGCCACTCTTATCTTCAACAACTATTGATGAATAGGAAAGGAGAGATTTCGAAAAAAAGGTTTTCAAAAGAGTTTTTGTAAAACGAGTTCACAGTTTCGCAGACCAATACCCATCATCAACTCTACAAAAGTGTTTGTAAAGAGGTGGAAATAATAAAAATTTGGTGAGAAAGGGAAAGGGAGAGAAAGAGAGGGAAAGAGGAAAATGGAGAGAGTGAGAGATGAGAGAGAGAGAGAGAAAGAGAGAGAGAGAGAGAGAGAGAGAGAGAGAGAGAGAGAGAGAGAGAGAGAGAGAGAGAGAGAGAGAGAGAGAGAATGGGGGAGAGATAAAGTGATGGAGATTGATTTAGGGTGTGTGAAAAAACGGTGAGAAAGCAGTTGTAGAGGTAGCAAATGTGAGGACATACTGAGAAAGAGGTATGTAGTTATACAGATAAATAGACAGACCGATACAGAAATAATTAGACAGATAGATAGACAAACAGAGAATGATAGAGGAGTGAGTGAATGAAAGAGAGAGGGAGAGAGAGAGAAAGAGAGAGTGAGAGAGATAGAGAAAGAAAAGAGGATATTTAAAATCCACTTCAAATTTTTTCTATTTCATATTGCACGAATCAAAATAATTTCAGTTCGATGATATCTGAATTTTAACCAGTAAATTGAATTGTCAAGCCAAACAATTTTAATTTGTATCCCCCAACCTAAAACACATTAATTGGGAAAATTGTACTTTTTGTTTATTCGAGTCGTTTAATTAGCCTAGAATTAAAATTAACAAAGGGCTTTCATTTATTGCAACTGAATTATTATTGCATAATTTTACATTTTGTTAAAGTGTTCGACAAATATTAAAATAAGACAAAAGTTTCTTTATGGGCAATGTTTATTTTAGACCGAAAACATTATGAATTATTCATGAATAAGAATATAATGGGCACATAAAGGTGTTTTAGTATCTCTCGGGGGTTTTTTCCTCTGTATACTTTTTTCGAGAACATAATACCATAGAACCATCTTTTGAATTTAAAATTAAAAACCCTCAAAATATACAAAAAACACCGAACAACGAGCAGTAGTTTAATGTTAGTCTTTACAGTTTTACTGGCTTAAACGAAGTTAATAAAACACAACTTTTGTGGCAAAGAAGTATGGGAGTCAGAAAGATTAAATCAAACGGAAAAGTGAAATTTGCGGCAGATTTAAATAACATCCTAATCTCGTTGATAAAGCGAATTTTTAGGAGGCGGATTTGATAAAAAAAAAAAAAAAAAGATTAAAGGAACCCGCTTTAAAGGCTCAGGCGTTATGATACTTCCCAAAAATGTTTGTAAAAAACCCAACGATTTTATCAATATGATAAATTAAATATGTCGGCTCAAAGAAATGTCACGGGTTTAAATTAATCGCGTTCTCAATTTTAGATCAATAATAAAGATTTCGCAGTCGTATGTCGTCTGTAAATAATTTCCATTGAAAGGAATCAACTCGGCAAAACGCATCCAAACCCATCTTATTACCATCTGAAACCCATGGTGAGATACCCGCTTCTTTTTGTGTTCTAGATATTTCCTCAATTCTGTTTTTTATTTAATAAGCAACAGTTAATCATGAGTGTTAAAGCCCGGCGAAAAAAAGGCTTAGTAAACAATTTTTTACACCCAAGAAATAAGTTACAAAGGAGATCCTTTCGAAGATTGGCATAAAAACCCGACGAGCATTATATAAACAAGAAATTTCTATACATCCTCTTACCTTTCTATGAAAAGAGGAGACCAGAGCGCCTTTTACCTTTAATTAATATCTTAGTGTATTTTACAGGTATTAACGATTTGAATACTTTCTCCACTTTGAAATTAAAAAAAAAAAAGGGAAAGTGGCTTTGCAAAACTTTGCAAATATTGTTTGATTTGTAAGACGAAGGCGATCTGCACTGTACTTCCTGCACTACATTGAACCAACACCTCGCGGAAGTCGGTTGTCTGGCATAAAATATGCCCTTGCGTGTAACCTTGTCTGCCTACGTTTTAAATCGGCTTAAAATCACCGAAACCTTCTGTTAAAAATAAAATCACACGCACGGAAAAAGTACAAGATTTGAATGAACGCTTTAATTTCACCAGTTCAAGTGGAACAGACCGAGGTAATTTCAACCTCATCTATCCAGTCTATCTTTATCTGATTTTGTTGAATACGTCCTTACGAGGAAAATCAAACAAATTTAATTTTTAAAATAATTTTCTACTTTTCTTACACACATACACGCGCGCCCGGGCTATAAATGGACCCTTCCTGATTTTTGGATCGCCCTAACTCTAACACGCATGGTAATTTTATGTTTTACATTCATAAGTATACAACACGGTCCTGGTAACTAATGACACTCGGCACAGATTATTCTGGTGTGCACTCATGAAAGTGTCAGGCTCGAACACCGGAAAATAATTTTCGATGAGAAATGAGAAAAAGAGGGAGAGGGGGAGAGAGGGAAAGGATTATAGAGACATAAATAGTGAGAGAGTGAGTTAAAGAGCAACATAAAATAGGTAGAGAGAGAGAGAGAGAGAGAGAGAGCGGGAGAGAGAGAAAGAAAGAGAGAGAGCGAAAGAGAGAAAGAGAGAGAGAAAGAAAGAGAGAGAGCGGGGAGAGAGAGAGAGCGGGAGAGAGAGAAAGAAAGAGAGAGCGGGAGAGAGAGAGAGACCAACATGAAGATATAAAATGTTAGATAGAGAGGTAGGTTGATAAACAGATAAAGATAGATGGGGTGAAGGAGAAAAAAGAGAGAGAGGGAGAGTGAATGAAAAAGAACGGAAGAGAGAGAGAGAGAGAGAGAGAGAGAGAGAGAGAGAGAGAGAGAGAGAGAGCGGGAGAGAGAGAGACCAACATGAAGATATAAAGTGTTAGATAGAGAGGTAGATTGATAAACAGATAGAGATAGATGGGGTGAAGGAGAAAAAAGAGAGAGAGGGAGAGTGAATGAAAAAGAAAGGAAGTGAGCGAGAAGAGAGTTGCGAAAGTGAGATAAAGATTGAGAGAGTTTATTTTGAAACACTAAAAACTAAAATCTCATTGGCTTTAATTGGTTTTCACTATTGGGCACGAAGTCCTGCAAGACCAACTTAAGTCCTTAATAATAAAAGAACCCATTTTATATGTCAAGTGGGAACGAGTAATCTTGCAATTTTAAGCCTCGGGTTTAGTTTCCATTACAAGAAACTTAGCCAAGTCAGTCTTTTTGATACTTAGGTCCCATGCCCGTCAGTCGAGAGAGATTTTTTCAAAGATCACGTTCCTCCTCGTGATTCGCCTTTAAAGCGCTCGTTTAACGATCCACTAATAATTCATATGGAGGAAGGAGGCTGAAAATGGTGAAAAGAAAACGGTTCCTTGGCCAAGCCTAATGTGGCGAAGACCGAAAATTCATTCAATTTTTATGTTTTCCATACAGGAAAAAAAATAATTCTCAACAATTTAAGCGTAGAATTCGCCAGGAAATAATAATTTGACAAGCATTACATGCTGACGTATGTAGTCAAGAGTTTCGACTGAAGGAAAAATCACACATTTATGACAGACCGAAACAGTGTGGATAGGCTGACCAAAATGTCCGGTAATGACGAAGCTAATTACAGAAAAGTTAAAAAACTACATCACTAATGAAAAGTGTACAGTTAGTAAGTAGATTTGAGCTCATAGCTTGAAGTTTAAAAACCCTGACAGACGATAAAAACAAATCAGTAATGACAAACAATTTGCATTATTAATTTTTTAAATATTATTTAATTTAATCTTACATTAAAATATTTAATTTGCTAAGTCCCGGTGCTTTTTAGTATAATGAATATGTCTAGGCATTTTCACTTGATAAAGTATCTATTGTGGTAGTGTGCACGCAAGGCCAAACTGGCTCTTTCTCCGGAGGAAAGATCCTCTGGCTGTACTTGCTGATGACTTTAAAGCCATCTTAAAAACATCATCTGTCTTTATACTTTCGTTCAATTTGTGTTTTCTCGTTGATTAATCAAAATCGATATTTTGTTTCAGGTCATGGATCGGATAAATAATTGAAAAAATATAGAACGTGAGTAAATAAAATTATTATCAATTTTTTTGTTATTCCAGGTCAATAAGCTCTGTTAAAATCTACACTTCAACATATTAACGAGTTATGTGCATAATTATGTTTACACTCTGGCATTATCGCCGTATTTTATCAACCTTAAAGTTTGACAGTTAAATGCCAATCTTGTAAACAAAGGTCAGAGGAATGAAATAGGCTTATCGACCAATTTGCTCCATCTCATTTATGCTTTTTTTCATTTTGAAATACCCTCAAAGACAAAAACCTGACACTGGTATTTTGTGGTTTATTCAAACTTTATGTGTTTTTATCGTTATATTAATTAAAACATACGTATTTTAATATAAACCAAATTAAACGAGATCTGATACTTGAGCTTTAGTAACAATTATTTAATTATGATGGTTTGAAAGAAAACTCACCAAAACATCGGAAAATCATTTAATGATAGATGAAAATTTATTACCTAGTTTCGCTCTTAATAACGCGTATTAAGCCTTAAGTCTCCTAGGTATCGAGTAAAAAAGCGACTTCGTCTTGTGTAACAGAATCACATTCTTCATGGGTTTGAAGCTATTCAACGCTTGTTGGAGGCGACTAATGATATGTAACCCATATTTTTATTATGTCCCACAAATAGAAGAACGTGCTGGCCACTTCATTGTGGTAATCCCTACATCCTCCAATTAATGGGTGACAACTTCATGCGGTCAGCATTATCATGCATTAATACGAATTTGTCCCTAATAATTGAAGCGAATGGGAACACAGCTAGAAGAATTTCCTCAAGGTGCCTTAGAGCAGTCAAAGATTCTGGTTGATTTCGGTCCTAGTGTAGACGTCGATTCCTTCCGATACCACAACTATCTTTGAAAAAGCTTTGGCCATTCACACGTGGCACATGAAGCAAAACGTTCTCCACGTCTTTTCATGGACCCGGTGATATGATTGCCACTAACCAAATCGGTACTTGTTCTCTGTCCACATTGTTCAAGTTTTCAAGATAAATGTTGATTTTGGAATAGTTTTCTTACTTCTCGATACCTCTCCACTAGTAGAGAGCATGATACGGGACGTCAAGAGACTAACGCTTCGATCGTGACTTCCGGTTGTCCTAAACCACTGTAGTGCATCTTGAATGGTAGGCCTCGGGTTATGTAAAGGTTCTTTTGTCGTAGGCCAAAGCATCTGCTTGGGCGAGATCTTCTTGACTTAAAATCATTCTTTTAATTAAAAAAAAAAATTAATTTGTTCTGAAATGTATTGTTTCATCAATGAAACCAATCTAAAAAACCAATTCTCTCTCGATAAGTTGGCTCTGAAAAAGATGAAATTGAACTGATTTTCTTTATTTCTAATGAGTGTAAAGGATTAGTAACACTTTATAAAAATATTATTAAGTTATTAATGTTTGTTTACGTTTAAATTCAACTATTCAACTTTGTACCTAGTTATGGGGTTGTTTCACATGAAATATCCGATTTTTTAGTTTCATAAATTCAGAGAGGATTTAGCGGTTTTCTGTTGTTTACTTAAAATTGATTAAATTTATAATTAAGCACTATAATAATCCACTATAATAATAATTTATAATTAATCCTGCACTTTTGTTTGCAACGATGAGCTCCCCAATTTATTAGTATACCCCGAAATATGAACATGGAAGCACGCGATTTTCGTGAAATATTCCTTTACGAATTTAAACTCGGTCATTCGGCAGCTGAGGTAAGGCGTATGCGGAAGGGACTGTAAATGACCGTACCATTCGCCGATGGTTTGCTAAGTTTTCGAACCTCCAACTTTAATTGACAACGACGTCCTTAAGCGTCTAAGGAAACCACTATCAAACAGTCAGAGGATTTGCAGCACAACTAAATGCAAGTGCAGCTACAGTGTCAAGACTGTTAAGGGACATAGGAAACGTCAACAAGCTAGATCTATGAGTCCCTCATGAGCTCTATGAGGAACAGCAGGAAAAAACCGAACCATTTCTTGAAAGAATAAACTTGTGATGAAAAATGGATTGCATATGATAATCAGCGTCGATCAGGGCAGTGGTAAACATCGACGAAAGACCAGGGCACACGCCAAAACCAAATTTATACCAAAAAATTGATGGTGACCTTACGGTAGACCATGGCTGGGATTATTCACTCACTACTCCTTTTTGCCTAGAGGTGAGACCATTAGCTCTACATCGTACTGCAAGGAAATTGACGAAAGAATTACTAAAAAAAAAAAAAAACCTACATTTCGGAAAGATCCTATACTCCTCTTTTGCCTCATGTTTCAAAATATGATGTAAAAAAATTGAAAGAGCTTGGCTACGAAGTTCTGCAGCATCTTCCTTATTCTCCAGTTGTCTCCAACAGATTTTCACCTGTTTAGGAATTTAGGCAACTTCGTCAAAGGAAGGTTTTTTGAAAACGATGTTCAAGTCCAAAAAGCGTTTTCGGATTTTGTTTCATTTCAAAGCTCAGAATTCTTCAGTTCCGGCATAAAAGCTAGGAAAAATGTGTAGAAAATGAAGGAACTTTGAATAAAATGATTTTGTTTTTATACAGTAATTTTACTTTAAAAAAACCTTTACCTTGGAGACGGACATTTCGTGTGAAACAACCCAATGTTATGGAAAATAAATATATGTTTCAAGTATTTTTGTTTTTGAGTGTATAAATCCGACGTCGTTTTTCGATCTTAAACGACATTCAAATAAAATTCGAGAGTTCATCAAGTTTAATTGTGTTTCTCATTTGTGGACTTTGCGAGAATTGTCCCCTGTCGCTATATTATCTCTGAACAATTTTCAAAATGCGGGAAGAGCGAAGTTAAGATGCGGGACCGCAATCAACAACTTTTTCAACCTCCTGTAAGTGTTCCACCGGAGTTGTACATTCTAAAAGGGGCCACCTATAAAATTCTACGCGCTCTGTTTAATTGAATTCGCCCCTTTCAGACCCATAGGAAGGAGAAGAAAATGTTTCGGCCTGCAATAGAAATATACAACCGGCCTAATGGAAATTAGGAGAAAAACGTTCTGAAGACTATCGGTAAACCCTAACGCAACAACGTATCCCACATGCCAAAATAACAATTTTTTTTACCATAGCAAATAGTTTATCTTCAATTGATATTATAGACTGATATAAATTCATTTATTTTAATTTACTTCCACGTATTGAGCTTTGAAAGTTTGAACAGCTGCAAGTCTTCACTGAATAAATACAATTACTCACTTTGCTGGATAAATCTCAAAGCATCCGCTCTAGCCAGTACATCAGTGAATGAATAAATTACCTTTTCTATTTAAGAACAAAAGAGTCTTTATACTAATTTTAAACATTCTGTAATGAAAAATCGACCGAATTGGAGTAATTTCGGATCTGAGTAAACAGATCTATCCTTTTCCGAATTCAGTCTTTCAACCGCGTGCAACAAAGGTGAACATGAAACTCTAATTAAAGGGGGGAAAAGAACTCATTTCGACACAGAACTTACTCAATAAACGGCGTCGACCCAGCTCGCCCCCATCAACCTTGTGTGCCTGGAATCACAATAGCCAGTCCTGCGTCGACGACGCTTTTACTTTCATTCCGCTTTCACCTCAATTACCTGAAAATAACTGGGTAACAGTGGGTTGTATAAGAAAATATATCTTTTTTTTCGGTTTTACAATGACGGCGGTTTTGTGCCGCTTCGGCTTGGACGTCCATAAAAAATTAACTAATTTTTCAAACCTTCTTCCATGAATAACCTAATTTTACATACTCGTGTGTGCCTTATGTAATTTTACGGTATTTCTTTCTTTCTCGAAACACACTCACTGAAAGGAGCTAACACACATTTTTAAGTTATTTAATATTTTCCTTCATACACAATCAAATTCCCCTGGATTTAATCTCTTAACAGCAGAAATCAGGTCTTTCTATTATACGACCTCACAGCTTAAACTATTAAAGCTATTTTTAGACAACTGAAGAGGACCAAGCGCTACGAACTTGCCTCCTAGACTTAAGTTTCCACTTTAATAAATTAAATTCACTAATTTCGTGGTCAGCTTGACCAATTAATACTATACAATTAATTAAGGCTTTTAGTTGAAATGAAAAAAAGTTAATGGCACGAGAGGGATTCGAACCCAGCCGAAGGTCGTGGGTTCGAATCCCTCTCGTGCCATTAACTTTTTTTCATCTCAACTAAAAGCCTTAATTAATTAATAAATTAATAAGGACATCAGTGGGTGTACCTAATTTTAACTAGTTTTTACAATTTTATTTTGTTCCAGATTTAGTAAATGAAGAGATTAATTAAAACAGAACATCTATCTAATGAGAGCATGGCTACAACTACTCTATATACAGCTTGCTTTCAAATTGTTATGTCCTGGTCTATAGTACCCAAAAATTTATGTTGAAATGCTATAATTCGGACTGGTTCGTGGGTTATTGGACTTTCACCCCCAAGGATTGTCACCCCCCCGATGTGCTAACCCTAGGGTCTAAACCACCAGGGAGTTCACCTACCCCGTACCGGCTGGGACACTAGTTAAGTCAGACGCCCAGCAGACCGTCTTTCCCCAACCAACGGGGTTAAGCTATGTCATGTCAGCCCCAACGCATGCAAACTATAATCTAACCTAAAACTAACTAACTTCTGTAAAACCGTCGCAACACAGCGCAAATAAATACATTTACACCTACTCATTATACTTATTCTGAGTAGTCGGTGGAGTGATCAATATTCTTCCATTGACCTGTATACCTCATTGATAATCTAATCGAAATTAGGGTCGAACGAGGTACTTTTATAAACGTTCCGCTATCGACCACAAATGCACTGCTGGAGGAACGATGATAACGCTACATTTCACTATCAGCCCCACACCACTCACACTAATAAATACAAGCACTCAAACAAAATACATAAAACAGAGCTATATACAAATAGAAAAACCCCACGACCTCCAAAAATCGGAACAGGGGACCCAGAAATTCGCTACT